TTTAAAAATTACATATAATTAATTTAAAAATAATTTAAATTTTTATGCTATAAACAAAAGACTTAACTTCAAGCTAATTATGTTATGAATGTTAGTTTAAATTCTATTAATTTTATTTTTTGTTCAATAGCTTTATTATTCAATTTAAAAACGGGATTTTAGTTAAAACTTTAAATTAGTAAAATTAATTACATCAAAATGATTACTAAATTTAAAAATTAATAAAAAAGATATTCTTTTGCATTATTAAGAAATATTTAATATTTTAACAACATAAAATTAAGTTTATTTATTTATTTAATGATATTTTAATTGTAATAAATTAACATAAATATATAAATTAGAAAATCAAAATTGATAATGATTTTTATATAAAAACTTTACTAATTTTTCTCTTTTGATCTGAATTAAAAATTCAGATATGAATAGTACTAGGATACTGAAATTATGACAAAAATAGCTGATCTTATGAGTCTTCTAATGAGAGAATCATTAGAGTTAAATGCCTTTTTTATTTTAAATAGTCTATACTAATGAATATTTAATTTAAATATTTGTAGATAGATAAATTGCTTAAAAAATAAAATTAGATAAAATTTTGAAAATATTTTTTTGCTGAAAAATTGAGAGATCTTTGAATTTTTTTAATTGCAACTTTATTAATATTTCATTTACTTTAGAATGAAATAAGGTAAGTAAATACTTATAAACTCAGAGAGATATCCAAGGAAACAAATGAATTTGAGTGAATTTTCATCAAAAACTCAAAATATTTAACTATAAATTAAAATATTTGCCAAAAATCTAGATTTTAAATTATCTTAATTAAATTCAAAAATTGTAAATCGAAATGGCATTTTATTATCTTTGTAAAAAAATTTTCATTTTTAGATGCATGCTTGATAATTCAATTAGCTTATTATAAAAAAATATTGTCTATATAATAGTCCCTTATATAAATTAATTAAATACTTCCTATATTCTAATTAAAGTGCCTCTTATTAAGGTGCAATTTCTAATTTAGGTGATAAAATATTTTACCGAATACCGAATATAATTTTTTTTCAGTTTATCCCTATTAAAAATGCTTAAGTACAAGATAAATTTCATTTATTTCAAACAATAAAACTATTTAGTATTTCTTATTAGCTATAAGTACCTGATTGTTAAACTGATAATAAAAATCCATTCTGCACCTAATTATCATCCTTTTAAAAGAAACATTAATAAATTGATGTAAAATAAGTATAGGATTAACAATAAGATGAATTCACCATTTCAAATTTAAAAGAAATAAAACAGTATTTTAATGAAGATAATATTGAATTTTGTATAAATTCAGAAATATTTCTTTTATGGTAACAAAATTCATTTATACTTCCAATTTTATCAGCACTTTCTAAACTCTACTTATCTATTCTCTCTTCAAATGCAGATTCAGAAAGGGTCTGTTCTGATGGTAGTCTTGTAGTTTCTGAAAAAAAATAAAGGTTAAGCCAAAAGAAAGCTAAAATGCTTGTTACTTTAAAAGGCAATCAAAAATATTTAGAAAATATATAAATAAACATAATTTATTTGAATAATACTAAATTTTATACTGAAAATAGAAAAAATATTAATATATAATATTATAATTGATTTTAATTTAAAA